TCCTCAAATGTATTCCTTTGTCGCTTCCAGGTATCTTTCCAAGCACCCATACAAGGTATCCCCCTTACTTTATCCCTCTGATCGGCTCAGCCACTCCCACTCCTTCCCTGCGGGATCGGCTGTCCCTTCCTGCTCCCCCACCGCGTTCAGGGCCAAATAAAAACGCAGAAAGCAGGGACCACCGTACAGGCCTGTAGAGCTGTGGCTGCAAAATCTCGGAGAATGCAGTGTTGTGTGCTCGCAGCCATCGGAGCAACGTGACCCACCTTTCTCGAGGGCCAGATTTGGTTGGCCATCACCGAGCAGGAAGTTTTGAATTTTTTGGCGCCAAAGTGATTCGTCCCGCGCAGGCGCAAACGTACGCTTGGGTGAGGTGGGGAAATGCGCTGTTCGCGCTGGCAGATCTCGCGTGGTTTGGGGAAGCCGGAGAGCAGGAATGTTTTTTGGTGGCGTTGTGAAGCTTTTTTTTTTTTTTTTTTTTTTTTTTTTTTAATGGGGCCGGGATGGATTAGTGCTGCAGTCAAGTTAAAAAAAAAAAATCTAGAGTCGGCGGCGAGAACCAATGAGGGTAGTGTAACTAGCGGCAGTTGTCCGGGGCCGAGGACTTTTCTCCGAGGCCCCTGGGCCCCGGCACAAATTCTTCAGAGACAAAAGCCAGGAGTATGCAAAAAAATAAAATAAAATAAAAGGGGGGGGGGGCGGAGAAAAAAAGACAAGACAAAGCCAGGCTACCACCTCAGGGCGCAGTGTTTTGTTTTTGCACGTTTCACTACGAAAAGTCCCGCTGGCTGCCAACCAACCAGTTTAACCTGCTGCCGCCGCTGCGCCTGCGCATTAGTTTGTTTACGAAGCCGGCTCGGCTGGGTCCCGCGCTCGGGGCCTCGGGCGTTCACTGTTTTGATGGGTAACTCATGATGAAAATTATGTTTTCAGCCAGGAACATGGGTTGGAGGTTAAGAACAGGACCGTTTCTGTGTAAATCTGAAGCCAATGAAAATACGAACGGTAATGACAGCTCAGAACTCTCAAAAATTGTCGCCCCGGCAGACCTGTCCTGCAAGAGGATAGCACCACCCTCACCATAACGCAGAAGTGATAAGCAGCCAAGTAAACCCAGGAGCGGAGGCAGTGTGTAGGGGCCTCCTTAAAACTTAGACTCTGTTATGGAAAAGATGCAAATACGCCTCAACCTGAGGCCAACCTCGAGCAATATCTGCCTGAGACTGACTCTTAAAGCCAGGTCAAAAAGGCAGCCATGCAAATTTTGAAACTAAAAAGAGATGACTCTAGAAGCAGTCGCCAGAAAAAGCACAAACCAAGAAGCAAATTTTAAAAGATGGTTTTAAGTTCCCTTCAAAGACAGTTTCAGATGGCTTAGAAGGCTGTGATACAAAACAAGAAGATAGGTTGAAACTACCAGTATGTGTTACAGATATGACTGGATGCACTTGCAAATAAAAAAGGCAGGCAAGCTGGTTTTTAAAAAATATCTTTATGGAAAAGTTTCTAAATGGTGCATTTTAATGTTCTCAAAAAGAACCTTAAATAGGTTCAGCTAAACCTGGATCTTTATCTTAGAGTTAGGTGAAAGTATAGTTTGGCAATTTTATCAGATTCTGTTTGTCAGATTTCAAATGATGCATTTGAAGACTTTAATTTGCAACAGAAGGTGAGATGTTTAGGGAGCATGGCATTAAGTAGAGAAAATGTATAGTCCTGTGAGGTGGGGCCAAATTTCTTAGGCTCTGGATGCTTTCAACATCATTCACAGTGCACAGTGAGCTTTCATCTGAAAAAATATAGCCTCTGGATTTTTCTTATATTCAGTACCAGAGGACTGGTGCATGAAATTCGTGTGTGTGTGTGTGTGTGTGTGTGTGTGTGTGTGTGGGGGGGGGGGAGGAGGTAGTGTGGGGGGGTGTCCCTCAGCCCAGCCTGCACCCTTTCCAATCTGGGACCCCTTCAGCTGCCAGACATCCCTCTCATAATCTGGAACTGCTGGCTCCTAACCACTCACCTGCCTGCCAGTCTGATTGCCCCCTAACCGCTCCCCTGCCAGCCTGATTGATGCCTAACTGCTCCCCTGCTGGTCCATCGCCCCCAACTGCCCTCCCCTGCCAGCCTGATCACCCCCAACTGCCTTTCCCAGCTGGCCTGATCTCACCCCCAACTGCCCTCCCCTGCCGGCCATCTTGTGGCAGCCATCTTGTGGTGGCCATCTTGTGATGATGACGTGCGTGACACCACTTAGGCTTTTATTATATAGGACTAGAGGCCCGGTGCACAAAATTCATGCATGAGGGGGGGCTCCCTCAGCCCGACCTGCACCCTCTCCAATCCAGGAGCCCTCAGGGGATGTCCTACTGATGGCTTAGGCCCGCTCCCCATGGGCCTAAGCCATAGTCTGGGCTACCTCTGCAGGAGGTGATCGGGCTGATCAAGGGAAGGTGCTGCCCCCATCACCCTGCTGCTGCTGCCACTGCTGTCCGCCACAGCCACCAAGGTGTTTTCATCAACACAGACTCTAGTCCCTTCACCACAAAAAAAATGACAACTTTCTTTAGGCATTTTCAAGATGTGTCTTTCATAGGATATGACCTTTCTTTTTTTTTTTTTTATCCTCACCTGAGGATATTTTTCCATTGATTTTTAGAGAGTGTGGAAGAGAGAGGGAAAGACAGAGAGAAACATCAATGTGAGAGGGACACTTCGATCGGTTACCTCCTGCATGAGCCCTGACCTGGGCCCTGGCCAGGGAGGAGCCTGCAACCTAGGTACATGCCCTTGACCAGAATCGAACCTAGACCCTGCAGTCGGCAGGCCGAGGCTCTATCCACTGGGCCAAACCGGCTAGGGCAGGATATGACATTTCTTAGCCCCTCTAGCAGCGGACCTTCGTTTTTTCCTCCAGGAATGAGGTGGGAAAACCCTTGGATTCTTATTACCCAAGTTACCAAGAACACTGCAAATGGCGTACGGGGAGCTTAGCCAATGAGTGGTCACCACCGCCGTGGTGAGCTGGCAGGCCCTGCTCTCTGCAGGCCTGCTTGCTTGGTGCCGCGGGCTGGCCTGTGCCATCCATGGCTTGCCTCACCACGCACGCAGTCCTCTCCCGCCAACCTGCGTGCGCAGCCTCCTCCTGAGCGGTCGTGACCATTATGGCATCCTAGACAATTTGCATATTACCTCTTTATATATACATATAGATGATAGTAAAATTTAGTAAATCTAGCAATTTGGACACTTACCTTTTAAGGCAAATTTGTACCAAAGTCAGAAGTGACTTTACTTGCTTCATTTTCTGGAGGTACATTCATTTGGTTGAGGGAAGGTGGTAACCAGTTTTCTAAGCCAAGGTTGAATTGACATTTTCTTCATGACTAGCCTTCTGGTTCATACATATTAAGCACAATTAAGGTGAATTGACTCCTTGTTCACCTTAATGATTAAGACTCACTCATAAAAAATGACTCACTTTGTCAAGGCAATCCACAACTGGATACTTTTTTAACCCTCACCAGAGGACATATTGATTTTAGAGAGTGGGGAAGGGAAGGGAGGGTGTGGAGAGAGAAACATCAGCATCCTGACAGGGGACTGAACAGAAAACCTAAGTGTGTGACCTGACCAGGAACCGAACCCACAACCTTTCAGTGTATGGGAGGACTGGACAATGCCACAACCAACTGAGCCACACTGGCCAGAGCAACAGCTGAGTGCTTTTAATGCATATGATGAGATGGCTCAATAAAAAATTAAGTAGGGGGATTGATGAGTTGATAAAGACTTGTGAATCCCTTGAGAGGATTGTGATGACTGTGATGAAAATGATAATGTAAGACTGATAAGTAGTCAAATAAAACTTCATCTTTGTTCACTGAAAAAAAAAAAAGCAATTGTTTGATGAGTAAAAGAGACACTACTGGATTGGTTTCCCATTGTTTGTCATATCACTCAGGAAATAATAGTTAGACAAATGTCCACAATCAGTAGCTGAAAAAATTATTCATACCATTTCTTTAGCAGTGTTCTGAGCATGCTCCTTCATGATTACCCTGACATTGTAAAGCAATGAAAAACTGCTGCCATTTGTATCAACACATTTATGTCAGTCTGGGTTCTTGAATTATTCTGACCCCAAGACAAATAAGAGGAATTGCTGAACAATAAATCTGATATGTATTACCAACTATCTAAAAGTGGTTGAATCAATACAATATGACTAAGTAAATGATAGAAACCTTTTGTCATGACAGATAACTTTATTTTTAATAAATAGATAATTTTAATTTTAAAGAGTGTTAAACACATATATTAAGGCCAAATTGCTGCTTGTAGCTCTGCACTCTTTTAAGTGTTGGAAGTAACTCCAGCACTCTTGTTATGCTTTAAGAAGGAATGTTTCAATCAGTTAGAAGGGAATCCTCAACAAGGGGGTGGGGTGAGGGTAAGAGGGAAAAAAGTATAAACTCTGGTTGTGAATGTTAAGCAATACCCACTGAGGACATCTCTGCTGAAGCTCTTTTCCTTGTGCTAACTCCGCCCCATCCCCACCCCTCCTCCCTCCCATCCCCACCTTTGTGTGCCTGGCTTTTCATTACAATTATGTCTCTGATAAGGAAAGGTGCCTTTCTGCTCTGCCATCCTCAGTGTATTGAAGAGTCTTCGGTCATAGTCACAGGATGGCTGCCAAAGCTCCAAACATCAAGTTCTCATGTGAAATGTTCCGAACAGAAAGGAAGAAGAGCTATAGGTAAAGAAGAAGAAAGCTTTGTGGCCTCTCTTATCATTCCATATGACATAACAGACTTCCCTTTACATCTCATTGTTCAACACTATGTTATTTGCCTACCCACAACTTTGAGGAAGGCTAGGAAAGTATGTATAGGGAAAACAGATACATTCTTTAATATGGTGCACTAAGAATAGCAGGGATATGGGAAATTATGTATAGGGTTAGGAGCAGATAATTTGAAACCTATGCAACTTTGTTACTTGAGGACCATAAAAGTTACTATGCTAATAAAAAAAAAATACTACATAGTTAAATCTCCAAAGGCATTTTTACTCAACAACATCCTTTAGAGAGCCATAAGGTCCAATATGTTAGCCACTAGCTGTGTGTGGCTATTAAGCATTTAAATGTGCTAATCCAAATAGAGCTGTGCTGTAAGTATAAAACATACACCGGATTTCAAAGACTTAGTATGGCGCTGGCTGGGTGGCTCAGTTGGTTGGAGTGTTATTCTGTACACCAAAAAGATTGCGGGTTTGATTCCTATCAGGGCACATACCTCAGTTAAGGGGATTACAGCACATAGGG